CCGCCGTGATGGCGGTGGCGGTGGCGGTGGCGACGGGGGCGGGGTGGGAGGTGCGTTTGTGGTGCTGGCGGAGGTGATGCAGGTGCATGGCGCAGCATCAGCACCATCGGCAAGCTGCCTCCGCTGCTGTTGCTACTGCTGCTGCTGCTGATGATGATGACGATGAATGCGTTGTCCTGCCTCTGGCAATGGGTGAGGCGGCGACAGTCCACCAAGCGCTGGTGCAGCACGTGGACCACCTGTGCAGATCAACCGATCTCTTGTAGCGTGAACCCAGCCGGCTGCGACCCGCATGCATGAGCTTCTTGCAGAACAGGCAACCCACGCTCACCTCCAGACGCAAACGTGTGCATCTCTGATCACCTGCGCGCTCTGCACGCCGCCCAATCCGACTGTTAGGTATGACGCCGAGACACTCAGCGATGACGGGGTGGATGAGGAGGAGGACGGGGAGGGCTCAGAGGACTGCACGGGCAGCGGCAGCGGCAGCGGCAGTGGCAGCGGGGCCAGCGCGGCGGGCGGCGGCGGCGGCGCGGCGGGGCGCGGGCACGTGACGAACTACGCGCAGAATGTGGACGGGCAGGTTTGGGATCTGGAGATGCTGCGCAGCTGTATGGGTGAGGCTTGACGGGGGTTGTGAAGGGGGGGTGGTCAGTGTTGTGCAGGTGCTGGGTCGGGGTGGGCAGCTAGGGGCTGGACATGGGTTGGTGTGTCGTTCACGAGGGCCCCAATGCCACAAGCCTGTCGTCGTGCGGCGTCGTCGCACCGCACAACGTGCGAGCGTGCCAGCTGGCAGCGCTGGCTCGATCGCACGCGCCGCCAACCTCCACAATCCACCCGTGTGTCCAGCTTGCTGCGCCTGCTCTGAGCTTTCATATCTCTTGTCAACTTGAGCCGCATTTCAACCAACCAAGTTGGATCGGTGGTTTGTGCCCAGGTGGCGAGGCGTACGACCGCCTGTGGTCAAAGCTGGTCAGCAGCGCGGCGCGCGTGGTGGCGGCCACCCTGCCGGAGGTCCTTGCGGAGCAGGCCAAGCACAAGGCACCGCCAAACTCATCGTTCGAGGTGAGGGCGGCACGGGCTGATGGCGAGGGCAATCAGGCTGCGGCGCGCGGCGCAGGCCGTGCGTGAGCCTTCTCGCGCCTGCAACGGCCTGGAAGGTTGGGGCCCCTCCAGCATCGCCCCAATCCTGCCACGGGTGGTCAGGTATCCCCGCATTCCCTCAACCTGCGAGCGCGACGCGGCTCACCACACATCCACGCGGGGCGTTGGCCGCAGCTCCTGGGCCTGGACTACCTGGTGGACTCTCAGCAGCACCCCTGGCTGCTGGAGGTCAACGGCACACCCTCGCTGGCTGTTGAGCACAGCGACCCCAAGGTGGAAGCGCTCATTCACACACAAAAGGTGTGTATGCGCGCCCCCGCACGTTCACCCGCCCGCGCACATTCTCTTGCGTGCGCACGTTCACATGGCTCAACACATGAGCCTGTGCAGGGGCCCCGGGGGCGCCTTTGCCCTGCATTTGGCGCCATTGCAGCCGGGCGAGTCCGGCTGATGTGCCTTGTGCAGGCTCTTGTGCCGTGGCAGCTGCTCTGCAGGGGTGTGCAGGCCGCAACACCCGCAGCAGCCTGCACGCCCGCCCTCTCCCGGCCTGCTACGCCGGCGCCGCCCTCGCCCCTTCCTCCAACAGCGCCCCTGCCATCCCCCCTCCTGCGATTTCGCGTCCTCCGCGCCTGCGCCGCCAGTCGGGGATGGTGGTGGACATGGTGTCCCTCCTCGGCTGCGCCACGCGCTTCGACGACCGCTACAATCTGCTGCGCGCCGCCGTCGCCAAGGACCGCGCAGCTGCCCGGCAGCTGCGCGCCGAGCTGGCCGCTGCCGGCGGCGAGGAGTCCGCCATGGCACTGGCGAGGCAGGAGCTGGGCGCGCGTGGCGGCTTTATCCCGCTCGCGCCGCACTTCCCGGTGCGCGAATCGTATGACAGCGGGTATTCGATTCCCTGGGGGGCGCGGGACTACAAGCTGGCGTCTTGGATGGAGGAAAACGCGGCGGAGTGGCAGCAGCAGGGGACCCCGCAGCAGCAGGCGGTGCAGCAGCAGCGCGGCCGGCTGCGCCGCAAGCAGGCCGGCGGCGGCGGGCGCGAGGGGGGCGCGGGCGGCGCGTTGGTTGGCGGCGCGGCGACCTTGGACAGCGGCCGGAGCAGCAGCAGCAGCGAGGCGATCGTTGCGTCAGTCAGGGGCGGCGCGTGGCCTCTCGAGGTGGGGGAGCTGCGGTAGCGACTCCCTCGGCAGTTTATCGTCTCGAGCTTGGCAGCACCAGCGTGGTGCCCATCCTCAAAATCACTGTGTCCAACGCAGCAACCACTGTTGAACGCGGCGGCACTGCTGTGTGCAGCGTGTCGTGAGCTAATTCTTGTTCTACTGTACGTACGCAATGTCACTTTGCCTGGCCACGTCTTCTTACACGCTTACCAGTTACCACAACTCAGCCGCCAGCACCAACACGTGCACAGCGAGCGGCGCCCGCGGCTTGGGGCAACGCTACGTGGCCCAGTTATTTGTGGCGTCTGCACCGCTGCCTGAAATTCGAGTGTATACTCGCGTAATCTCCATGTGTAAACGTTTGCACAGTCGTTGTCCAAGGACTGCGTGCCCACGTCTGACGTCCAGTACAACTGTGAAGGTGAGGACGGGCGCAAGACTCTGCGCATTGGCCATGTGGCTGATTGGCTCCCCTGTCCTGCGGCTCAATGGCAGAAGTTCCTTGAAGACTGCAGCATCACTGAAGTTGAATCCTGTTGATGTGCGTCCTTGAACCCCACACTTAGCGGGGCGCAGCCACCTCAGCCCTAGCCGCGGGTGCCGCCAGCAGTCAGCTGGTGGCGACCAGTACATGCTTACTTGGCCAGCACAAGATCAACGTACAGTAAAAAAATCGCATGCACTGCGTTCATCACGTCATTGCACACCCCCGTCTGCACTGCAGCTGTTGACAGTGGCAGCTGGCGCCCCTCATCCATGATCTGGGGCCGTGAATTCTTGGGAATAGTAGGTTAGCCACCAAAAATGTGGTCTGAACAGACGATCGGGCTGACCCTGGCAGTCTGCTCGAGCATTTTCATCGGGTCGAGCTTTATCATCAAAAAACGGGGGCTCAGGGTGGCTGGCAGCACAGGATTGCGCGCAGGTGGGTGGGTATAGTGCTAGCGGGAGGTGCAGAGTGCAGCTAGCGGTTGGACCGCTACGCGCTCCGTGCAGATTCCGCAGCAACAGCGCAGCTGCACTGTTGCCGCCGAATCCGCGCGCCTGCAGCTGCCGCTCGACGCCTGTTCCGCTCAACACCTACAATCACAGCGACGGCGCGAGTGCAATCGGGCGGCAGCCTCAGCCACTTGGTGCCGACAGAGGATCCCCAGCCGCGGCGGCATGACAGCGGCATGAGAGCTCGCATGCCGACCTTCGCATCTCACGCCCCAAACAGGCGCTGGCGGCTTTGGTTACCTGCGGGAGCCGATCTGGTGGGCGGGCTTGCTGACTATGGTGGTGGGAGAGGTCGCGAACTTCGCAGCCTACGCGTTTGCGCCCGCCATCCTGGTTACGCCGCTTGGCGCGCTCAGCATCATCATCAGGTGCGCGGCCGTTGGCCAGCAGCCGGCGCTGTGAGTGATGTCGACCCCTGGATTGCTGGATAAATCCAGCAACAACAACAACAACAACAACAACAACAACAACAACAACAACAACAACAACAACAACAACAACAACAACAACAACAACAACAACAACAGCAGCAGCAGCAGCAGCAGCAGCAGCAGCAGCAGCAGCAGCAGCAGCAGCAGCGACACCAGGTTGAGAGCAGCCACAACTGCATGGCCCCCCGATTAGCGCACCCCCTCAACACTGTCGAACGCCCCGCCTTGCGACGCAGCGCCCTACTGGCGGATTTCATCCTGAACGAAAAGCTCAACGTTTTTGGATGGGTCGGCTGTGCGCTGTGCATCAATGGCAGCATCACAATCGTGCTGCACGCGCCGGCAGAGCGGCAGCTGCAAAGCGTGCTGGAAGTGTGGGATATGGCCATGCAGCCAGGTGGGCAGCGGTACGTGTGCTGCGTGTTTCCGCCCCAGTCTTTGTGTTGAGTTGTTTGGGAATACCTGTGTACTTGTGTTCGCTCTGCCCTCCTGACCCAAAACTCCCCCAGCCACTCCAAAACGCCACCCCGCCTTCCCACTCACCACAAAGGTTTCTTGCTGTACGCTGGGTTGGCCACCCTGACGATTGTGTACCTCATATACTGGGTGGCGCCCAAGCACGGCACCACCAACATATTTGTCTACATCGGCATCTGCTCGACAGCTGGCAGCCTATCAGTCATCAGCTGCAAGGCGCGTCCTCCTTGGCCGCACGCGCCGTGCGCCTTGCCCTGGGCTTGGCGTTGTGAAGCGTCCCTCCGCACAGTCACCGCTTGGGCGCAGAGGCCCTTTCGATGACTGCTGCCAAATTCAGCAAAAAGGAAACTCATACGAAGGGCCACTCCACCTGGCACTGGGGTCCCTGTTTGCCCCTGTCACCCTCTCATACGACACCTGCCTGCGCGCCCCAACCACCCAACGCTCCGTAGGCGTTGGGTATAGCCCTGAAGCTGACCTTCCAGGGCAACAACCAGATGCTGGACCCTCACACCCTCGTGTTCATAGTGGTGCGCTCTCCTGCCTACCAACGTCACCTCTAAGCACACGCGGCCCCATCTAAGCACCTGCCGGCCGCTGGCCGCCCATTCTTGTCCCCAGCGCCTGGGTGCCCAGTCTGCACGCCAGGCCACGCCTGTCCCTCCCCCTCCGCAGCCCTGCGCACCTGGCTGTGATGACCTGATCCCCCCATTTCTTCACTCACCTATACATACATACACACACGCACATGCCAATCACAGGTGCTTGCCAGCTGCCTTCTCACTCAGCTTGACTACCTGAACCGCGCCCTTGACCTGTTCAACACCGCCATAGTCAGCCCCATCTATTACGTCATGTTCACACTTCTAACCATCACTGCATCAGTCATAATGTTCCAGGTCGGTCGCCTTTCCTTGCAACGAATTGTGGTGGCTACTGTGCTTTGGGGCGTCCCTATCGCCACAGTAACTGTTGTTTGAGAGAGAGGGAGAGAGAGAGATTTTGACTCTCTCTGTGTGTGTGTATTTGTGTGTGTGTGTGTGTGTGTGTTTGTGTGTGTGTGTGTGTGTGTGTGTGTGTGTGTGCACAGTAGTGCGCACCTGGTCCTTTCGCTGTTGTGCATCTTCAACGCTGTCCTCTGCTCTGAAGCCCTCTCCTCCAAAGTACGGCCTGACACCACCAGCTCAAGAAACCACTCTCTGCATCGCCCCTCCCCCACCACCCCTAACCCACCCTCAAACTCACTGGTGCTTGCAAACCTCAGGACGTTCAAACGACGGTGCAGCTCGCCACAGAGGCATGCGGCTTCATCACAATCGTCGGCGGCACCTTCTTGTTGCATACCACCCGGGACATTGACCTGACACCCCTGGACTTGGACAGGCTCACAAAGAGCGACCGGCCCAGCGAAGACGGCGGCGGCCCAGGCACGCGCGCGGGGTCGGCCGGCGCGGCCGCCAACCTCCGTGGCCGCCGGACGGCGGTGCAGCAGCAATCTATGGAGCTTCTTGGCGGCGGCGGGGGAGGCGGCGGAGTGAAGCATTTGACGTTGGATGTGAGCGGCGGGGCGGACGGCGCGGGGGTGGTGGCCGGGGACAGAGAGGACGAGCCGCTCATCAGCTCTGGCAGGAAGCGGTAACAGCAGCCAATCGTCATGATTCAAGTGTCTTGTGCTGATGTTGCGCCAGCTGCGTCACATTGTGATCGTGCACTCGTGTAGCATGTGTTTTTATTTTATTTCCTGCTCCGCTATTGAGAGCACATTTTCATTGGATCCCAATGGTTGTGCTGCTGGCCGCTGCCAATAGTAGCAGCATGTGATTACAAGATGTCTTAGTAACTCCAGCAGCTGCTGAGCCCACGCATCATGACTGGTTCGCTGAAGGGTCCTGCACCACTATCAACACAAAGTCGTCCCCTGAGGTGGCGGGGCGCGCGCCGAGGCAGGCGGGGTGTCAGAGCGGGCCCGCCTGTTGATCTGCTGGGCGCCAGCGCGTTTCAAGCGTGTCGCCGTCGCACGAGCAGCGCGCGCCCAAGCAAGAGTCAGCTGCCGGGTCTTGGCCCAAGCTTCCTCCCTGCAAGCAAGGTTTTTCCATGCGGGCGAGCCGGGCGTGCGGCGACGACACAAGGAAGCTGCATCGCCGCAAACAGCAGCGCAGCGTCACCACTCACGCGGCGCCACCATAATCTCGTGCTTTGCGCTGCGCACGCGCAGGAACTCCAGGTCGTCCAAGGGGTCGAGCTCCCGCACCATGGAGCGCGCCAGGGCTGTCAGGCCCGGGATGGCCTCAGAGTACTCTGCTGTGAGGGCCTCCTGTGTGGGGCGTGGCCGTCCAGGGGGTGCGCGCGTTGTGGCTGCACATGGGCAGCCGCGTGTGCATGCCTGGCTTGGCAAAGCATGCGCATGCGCATGCTCTTGATTGCCCAGTCCATGCCACAATCGCGTGTGAGGCTTGGGCTGGCTGCTGTGAGCGGGAGGTGGGCACTGGGCAGGCGTGGGGCATCGCCCTCATGTGAAAAAGCCCCAACAGCGCCAACAGGGGGGCCTGATGCTCACGTCAAACGTGGACTTGTGTACCTGCCCCTCTGCACCCACGACCAGCAGCCCAAGCACGCCCTGGGTGTGGTAGATTGTCAACATGCTGTCAAGCGCGCGGGTGGGGTGCTCGTGCAGCCAATGCACGGCAATGCACACATCAGCACGCAAAGCCGGCGGCGTGACATGCACTACGCACCTTGTGTTTTTGGACACGCTCTATAGTCTCCATCACGCTAGACGCCTGCACATGTACGTGCAACGAGGACGGAACAGGGGTGAGTCCCCGCCATCAACGATCTCGCCACGTGGTTGCCTGGGTCATGGCATGATGAGATGGCGTACTACTTCTAATCGATCGATTCGGCTACGCTTACCATGGCGATGGATGCTGCTGATACCTGGTCAAACAAGAGCCAGATCACAACACTGTGCTGTCGTAGGGGACCGTCTATGTATGGTATGTGTCGTGTCAAAACGGATCAGCTATCCCAAGGATGAGATGCGCATAGAAAGCTTTCATGTTCGTACTCTTTCATTCCAAGGGCTGCTTGACGGATGTCGCGCCACGCCGTGTCAGCCCGTGTGGTGGTCCCCGTGACGAGAGCGAGACCTCGCCACAGATTCCTTGCCGATGAAGCGTGCCAGATTCCACCATCTGATGATTTGATTGCTTCCTATGGTCAACAGCCCTGCGATTACTGGACCTGACCACAAAATGATATTTTACTTTAAAGAGATGACTTTGGAGGACACAGTAAGCCTTGGGCAAAAGCGCAACGTGCGACCTGGCTTATCATAAGAATGTGTGCTTGCACCGGCAGGCTGCGCCTAATGCTGCAGCTGCAGTTGTGATAAGTCTGCAAGTCCTTGGGATAGGTGGGACCCGCGATTGCGGCAGGTGCGCTCTGACTGCATAGCGTGGCGCAGTCGATCAGCCCCCTGCTCGCGAGCCACTTCGCAGTTGCTCATGCATGGCCCGCAGGCAACGCCACACGAAGCGCGGGCGCAGGTGCACTCGTCCACTCAATACCGCCGCCAGGCCCACCACCCGCGGCCCAGCAGCGACCTCCGGCTGCCGGGAAGCGCCCGCCTGCTGTCCAAAAGCAGCGCCCGCCGCCTGCGCGTGGAGATCCCCGACGCGTTCAGCAGTGTCTTGATGATGTTGTCCAGCTGCGCGCGCGACTGCGCGTACGCGTCCGCAACCTTCTTGGCCGCGGCCTGCTGCTCCGTCGCGGAGACACCTGGGAATGCCGCCAGCAGGGGCGACGGGGCAGGCAGGGCAGGGCAGGCAGGGCCGCGTCGTCGGGCCGTGGAAGCGCACGGCAACGATGGTGCGAGGAGGCGCAGCAAACTGGGGCGCCTCGGAAGCAGGTGTGCGCCCTCAAGCACACGTTGTCGCAGCTCGCTGCACCAACATTATCTCGTGCTGCATCACACTGCGCGCAGCTTCAACTGCGATAGCAGAGCGTCAAGTCGGTGACAAACGGCGCCGCACCTGGGATCGCGGCTATGTCCGCCTGAAGCTTCTTGGTGGCTGCGTCCGCCCGCGCCAGGTAGGCGGCGCGGTCGCCCGCCTTGATGGTCCCAGCAGCAAAGGTCGCGGTGAGCCCCTGCGGACGTGGGCGGGATGGGGCTCGGCACACGTGCGCGTGTGGCTCAACTGCATCGTGATATGCTGCCCCAAAGCAGCCCGGATGGGTAATGAGCCAGGTCTACCAACGGCCGACCCCACAGCCCTTGGCCGTTGCGGCCGCCGAGCCCCCGCGTGGAAAGCGCCGCCGCGACCCACACCGGAAGGGCACGAAGGAGAAAGAAGACACCCCCACCCCCACACGCGCACGTGCGCGCGCCCGCCCACCTGGAGCACCGCCACGTTGCCCTTCCGCCACTCCCCCATCAGCTGCACCCGCCTCGCGTCCGCCGCGGGCGACGAGAACCACCGGGCGGTCGACACGTCGCCCGCCTGGACCTTTGCCCAGCGCGAGCGGGTCTCGTTCAGGATGTTGTAGGCCGCCTTGTTGAACTCGCCCATCGCCTCCGCGCGGAGGCCGCCGGTCAGGCCGGGGATGGCGCGCAGCTTGGCGACCGCTTGGTCAACAATTACGTCCTCTTTGGTGCTGAAGGCGGCCACGTCCTGCTTGGTGATCTTGCCGGTGGCGGCCTTGGCGTTGAACGACTGGGGAAGAGTTTCGGGGGTTGAGGAGGGCGGGCTGGTGGGGGTGAGGCTGCGGAGGGTTGGGTAGGAGGCGGGCGCGGCGGCGCTCACAGGAGTGGAGGTGGTGGGCGGCGGTCACGCGGCGGCGGCGGCGGGGGCGGGGGCCACACCTCATCAAGCACGAGAAGCTGAATGGTCATGTTGGCAGCAATCTTCACGACGTCAGCAAACCCGGTCGGGGCCCTGGTGACAGCGGCGGACGCAGGCGCTTGTGCTGCGTATGAGATAGGCGGCAAGTGGCATGTGGCTCTGCTTGGTGTGGCAGGGTCAGCATTTTGCATGTGTGGCTTACTCATCACAATGAATTTCAGTTTAACGTGCTGGCACAAGGTCCTTTGGCTCGGTCCAACCGCGTTCAAAGGGCGTCGGCGGGCACGCCCCATCGTGGCACTGTCCGCACCAACCTGATGCGACCGCTAGCCCCAACACTACAGCCAAGCACAAGCCAGCTGCCCTCATTCTACCCGCAGTGTTATATGCTTGACGGCTGCCACGTATTCTAGTCGTGGCGTGGGCCGAAGACTGCGAGCCGGGCTGCTCGGCGGTGGTTCGTTGGCTGTGCCGTGGTTGATGAGCCGTCAAATCAGAACCATTTCGCGGAATCAAACGACTCACACTCACCCAGCATAGCACAGCGCGGGCCGCGCAGCACGAGTGCGCCACGTACGCGCAGCTGCTTCCAGTACCATAGCAAGTCACCCGGGTGCAGCTCCGGTGCCGCCGCTTCGCCGAGGCTCGCAGACGCGACGTCCCCTCCTGGCCCTTTGTGCCGATCCCCCTGATCTTCGCGGCCGACCATGAACGGCACCTTGTTCCGCTACGGCCCCGCGGCGCCGCAAGTCGCGTTCCGGTCCCCCGCTGCAGCCGCTTCCGCGCACCCGCCGGGGCCTCAGCTGCGGCGCCACCTGGTGCTGGTCGCGGGGCTCACAGAGGGCCTGCTCTTCGCGCCCTACGCCCAGCAGCTGGCGGACGCGGCGGCGCGCGCCGGCTACGCCTTGGTCCAGGCGCAGCTCGCCTCGTCATACCAGGTGCCGCCGCACCGCCGCTGCGTCGGCCTGCGCGGCGCGCCCTCCCTGCTCTCTTCCCCGCTCGCCCGCAAGCTGATGCTATCCCTCGATCATAACCAATGGGCCTCGGGCGCACGCACTTCCTTGAGCGTTCCTGCCTTCCCATTTTGAAAGACGGCTGCCGGTGACGAGTGCGACCGCAGGGCTGGGGTGTCGGGAGCCTGGATGCAGATGCGGACGACCTGCTGCTGCTGAGCCGCCACCTGCGAGGGTCCATGGGCAGCGAGGGGCTCGTCATAATGGGCCACTCCACAGGGACCCAGGTGAGCGGAAATGTGCACGCACTTCGCATGCCGGTTGAACCGCAAGCAGTCGAGATCCCCTGGCCGTGGTCGCAGCCACAACATCAGGAGCAGCAGCTAGTAATTGTCGCCAGCACGCGCTGTGTCATTGCTCTGAGTTGCGAAAGACTTGGGCCAAGCCAGCCGCCCAACGCCCCGGTCGCGTCGCCACGCACCGCATGTTTGCGAGGGCGGCAGGACGCGGTGCGTTTCTGTCAACGCCACGGCGGGGCTGAGGGCGCGGCACCACTGGACGGCGTCATCCTTCAGGCGCCGGTGCGCGGATTACGGTTGGCCATCGGGCTGGCACGGGTGTTGGTCTTCAACAAAGAGCCTTCCGCGGTGGTGACAGCGTGTGTTGGAGGACTGCAGCTTTCATGCATTGAACACACAGGATCACCATGACCCTGACAGGCTCGACACTGCGCTTGCCAGGCACGTGGCGGGGTGGCCCAAGGTCTGCTCGCTCCCTCCTTCTCAACCCCTGCACTCATCACCAAAATCACCCATCCTTTGCCTGCAGGCCTCCGATAGAGAGTGGCTTTCCCACTTCTATCCAGACATCGTCGGCCTGCTTCCATCAGCAAAGGCAATGGTGGCAGCTGGAAGAGGGGATGAAATCATCACACGGTCGCCGCCAGACCTGGCGGCTGCGCCCCTGAGCGCCACTCGGCTGGTGGCCCTGACTGACAGGCTGGGGGATGATGACATGTGGAGCTGGTGAGTGTTTTAGGTGACGTTTCCACTACCATTCATGCTGACTGGGGCAAACCATTGTCCTTCGACACCCTGCACTGCCTGCAAGCCAACACCTTGCATGCGCACCCAAAATCTTCAAACTCGATGCGCCGCTGGATTTCCCTTGCCTCAGGGACCTGAGCTCTGAAGAGCTTGCAAGCCTGCTGGGCCACATGGCGCGCTGGCCGCTGCTGCTGCTGCAGTCGGGTGCAGATGAGTGCGTCGTGGATTCAGCCACGATCCCAGAGATGGGGCAGCGGATCATGGCGGCCATGGGGACCACGCGCAGCGGCGGGG